ATCTGAGCTTTCCACCTTCTGAAAAGGGTCAAAGTTCCTTCTCAGCATTCTCTCCAATGCTGTTCTCACGTCACACGTTAGGAACCCAGAGGAAACATCTTTTGCTTTCATAAATTACATACATTTGACTAACACGTAGAGGCATTTTTATATTGTGTGCCTCTGTCTGTATGGAACTTTTCTACGTGAAAGATAACCACAAAAAGAGGAAAAGAAAAGTCTTTTCATATGAAATACTATGCAAGGACACAAAGTGATCAAATCAGATCAAAGATTAACTAGGGGGCTGGAGGTGTCTCTCAGGGTCCAGCATGGTGCTGGCCCAGCATGGCCCAGGCCCTCCAGAGCGAGGTGGGGTGGATGATTAAGGGAGAGAGACCCTGTCCAAGCACTTCTGACAGTGCAGCCTGGTCTGACTGAACACTCCAGCTAGAAAATGAGGAGCGTGGCCTTGACTGAGAACCTTCTGTCCACTTTCTGCCTCTCCAAAGCATCTTGTGAGCTCCTTGTTTTTGTCTTTGAGGGGAAGAATCCTAACTCCATGTCCGTACGGTGAAGACTAATATTGACTGATCTGGAAACAAACACTGAGTGGAATGGGAAGAGGGTGAGGTATAGTGGCTTCCCCTCTCATAAGTCCACGGGGCTTTCTGTGTTTCCGTGTTGTTGGAGGATTTGGGCCAGTGCCCACTGAAATGCCATTAGAGCAAGCATGAGCACCTGCTGGCATCAGTAACCCCCCAAAACACCAATCACATGACAACTCTGGGTGGGGAGATTTAAGAACGAGAAGACAGTGCTCGATACTAAAACTTCAACTTGTCTGGGGAAGAGACAGAGCATGGGCAGGGTCTCTGCAAGCTGGAGAAAGAACAGCATGCTCTTTTGAGCAGTAGATTTCTCTGAAATGAAAGGTCCAGTGGTCCACACTCAACTTAGGAACAAATCCTCTGGTGAAGGTGTCATGTGAAGTCTCTGGTTTTCATTTTCCATCGACTCTAATACTACTTCATCAAGAGGAGAAGAATATATTTCTGCCTCTGCCTTGAGTCTCCTCTCTCCATCAACGGGGAGACTTCACTGTCTAACTGGAGTTGTATCCTGAAGCACTTCTCTTGACCCCCGTGACAATTACACCAACTACCTGGAGTCACACATGGCTGGAAAACAGGAACTAGGCATCATGCTCCTTTCAGACACCAAACCTGAAAAGCTAGATTGGAGAATCCCAGGGCCAGGAGTGTAAAACCAGTGGGAGCTGGGGGAAATTACAGGCCCTCCCACGCACATTCCCCCCAGCTACCCAGCCAACAGAAGCGAGGAGGCACAAAGCACTGTTTAGCTATAAAACCGGGGTGGAGCCAAAAATGTGACCCTGGGTCAGAGGCCATTTGCTGGCTGGTAGGAGGGGCATAGCATGCTGCTTCTTCTCTTGGGCTCTGTGCCTGTTTGAGAGTGATAGGAGGGCAGGACTCAACAGCCTGCAAAGCCTAATGTCTTGACACTCCATAATGCCATACCCCCCCTCAGGACTGGACTGCAAGCAACTTTTTAACAGTATTTCAGGGAACAGTCACCAATGCCTTCTTTAAATACAAGGCTTGGAATTTCTGGATATTTAAAATTATTGCTCCTAAAATATACTGAAGTAGATGAGAAGCACCCAGGTTTATAGAGTGCTTAGTAAGGGCAAGGCACCTCTCATGATATGCCTTTGGAGGCTAACAACTAAGGTATCATTATTAATGCACTGAAGTACACATACTAAAGTGACTTGGATGCAACGGATCTACAAAAACGACCACTCTTAGAAGTAGCTCTGTTCCTGGTCTGCCTTTAGAACTTTCTTTACGTCTGCTGCCTTAAGTAGACATCACTAATGTAAAAGAAGTATTGCTTCTCCCAGATGGCACAGTGTGACAGTGAAGAACAAGACTCTGAAACCAGAATCCAAAGGAGCTGGGTGACCTTGGGCAAATCACACAACGACCCTGCTCCTGGGTTGTCTTAACTGTGTATTAAAAATGCTACAATGACATTTTCCCAGGTGGTTGTGAGGGCTAAATTAATTAATGTGTTAAAATATATTATTATGTACCTGAAACCATGCTTGTTGCATATTTAAAGCTGCTTAATTCTACACTATTACAAAGTGACTCGTGTCAATTTGCTTACACTGTAAGAAATTACTCGTACAAATGGAGGGGGTTTATGGACCATAGAGCCAACAAGATTCTTCTAGAACCCTCCAACCCAGTAATCTGAGGAGAAATGCTTGAACTATTCTCTGAAACAGTCTCAGAGTTCAAGGAAACCATGTGGCTTTCACTGGAACTGCAAGTAGTTTCCCTAGAGCCGGCAGATTTCTTTTTGGGGCTAAGCAGATGTGCCTCTCTAAAGTCTCCAAAATGACTAACCTGTTTTCCACTTCATTAGGCAAGATCCTGAACCTCAAGATAAGCCTGGATCTCTAAGCATTAAAATCTTGCTTCAAAAGGAGGGAAAGGAAGATTGTAAGCCGGGCACTCAGTAAAGCTGAGTTCACAGGGGGCTTCTTCCCTGGGAACGTTCGCTTTCGTTGTCTGGAATCAAGTCTCTCATCCCCATTCCCAGATGGACTGTGTGTTCATGTGTATGAATCCCTTTGCTCTGGAGGCAGAAATGTAACAGGGCTTGGCTCAAAACTAGAACAGAAGGCTTACTACAGACCAATGGCCGTCTGCGCAATGCCGAGAAGAATGGCGGGGGTTGCGGGGGGAAGCCCTGCACTGTGGGACCGACAATCCCATGACATACAAACCTGTGTTCTCCGGTTCCAATTAGAAAACTTCCAACAGGGAAATACAGAATTAATGGGAACCCCAAAACTGCAGCACACCCCAAGCCACTTTGATCCTGACATGCCTGGCACCAGCTATGCTACAGGAGTTCCGGTCTATACCAGCTCATTTTCACCCCCTGCCTTTATTCTTTTTCTTATATCAACTCAAGTCAGGTTTGTACAGCTTGCAAACAAAGTCTTCTGAAAAATACCAGCACATAAGCAAACAGTAGAAAATAAGCAAGCTATATTGCAAGTTGATAGTGGGCACTCTAGTTCCGCTGAGCAAACAGGAAGCAGGAGCATGTCATGCCATGTGCAAAACCACAAGAAAGGCTGGAGAGATGGTTTCCAACTCAGGGTCTGGCACCTGACATCCTGAGAGGTGAACAGGCTTCTTGTTTGTAGGAAGTAAATCTAGGCCTCAATTCAAATGATCTTTGCTTCCCCTACCCCCCCCCCCCCCCCCCATAACTGGGTCAAACTGAGGAGTTGGCAATGGCAATGTCTTTTCTGTCCCTAGAGTTGAGGACACACATCACACGAGTGATGACAGCAATTTTGTATTTCAAGATTTTATAAACATAAATCATGTTGACCGATACTTGTCAGCCTTTTCTCGGGAGAGTGAAATCAGTATTTACTTAGCACTGGTGCAGACAGGGAAATCAGAATGCATTTCTGAGTGCATTCTATGCAGCTCTTCTCCTCTCATTGGATAAATACGATTAGGCAAACGATAGGGTAGTAACAAAATAGACTCCACGAGGGAGCGATACGGAGAACAAAGCCAGCATCACTTAGCTAAATGATAATAATGCAATCAGAGAGGATTGTTGCTGCTCTTGATCTTGAGACTCAGGAGTCAACACTGACCACAGAACACTCCTGAAGTGAAGGGTATGATCTGAAAATCTATATGGTAAGTCCAAAGCCCTCTGTGCATTGAGGTAATAATAAACCATCCACACAAAACTACCTGCAGGTGATACTACAAGTATCTCCAGAGGTAGCTGAATTATGACATTTGTATATGGTCCCTAAAGATAGCTATGAAGGAATCCTTCACTCCAGAGACACCATCAGGTGCCCTATGTACAGAAGCTTTATGTGACACATGCTCAAGAAGGTGATACTTTTGTGGTGGCTTGAATAAGAATGGCCCCCTTAGGTTCACATATTTGGATGTTTGGTCCCCAGTTACTGGAATTACTTGAGAAATGTTGGGAGGTGTGGCCTTGCTGGAAGAGGTGTGTCAGTGGGGATGCGCTCTGAGGTTTCAAAAGCCCACACCAGGCCTAGTACCTCTCTCTGCCTGCTGCTGGTAGATCAGGATATGAGGGTCTCAGCTACTGCTCCAACACCATGTCTATTCGCTTTCTGCAATTATGATCATGGATCATAATTTTAATCCTCTAACGCTGTGAGCAAGCTCCCCAAGAAATTCTTTCTTTTAACAGCTGGCTTCGTCACAGTGTCATTTCATGCAATGCAACAGTGACTAAGACAATTGTATTCAGCACACTGGTCAAGAATTCAGCATATCGTACATAAGCGATGCCGAGAACACAGGGTTGCTGGTCAGATTTCTCACTGACTTGACAGCACGGGTGAGGGAAGGGAACGCTGAGATGTGAAACATCCCCTCCAAATGGAGAAGCTGAGGACCCTGTTTCAAACAACAGAGACTATCAGCACCACAGCTCAAGGTGAGGCAGCCCGAGTTTACAACATATATTCAACCACTTTTCCCTGCAAGGAGAATGATCTAACCAGAAGCCACTCAATACAGAGAGGTAAAAAACCAAGATGGCAGCACTGTCTTGGAATCTCATGCAAGGAAGCGACCCAGGCACTGATCTACAAAGGACCACCCATCGATACCCATTTTCTAAGATTAGATTGGGATGGGAGCAAGAGCAGAGAAAGGGAAAGAATTGAAGGTTAACACTGGGCTTCTTTCTACATCAGGGTTAGTCTGGAAAGCTGACCGGTATTGGTGCCTTCCCTTTCTGGGGCAATCCTCCAGGGATGATCTAACTTCCTATGATGGGGACTCAGAGGCCACCCTTTGAAGGGCTGTGTGACCCTCTGCAACAGGAAGACAACCTGATGGGTGAAGGATGGACAGCAGGAGGGACAGCCGTGTGACAGAGAAGACAAGGCAGATAATCCTTACTTTAGAAAGGCCGGGAAGTCATCACAAACCGCTTCGCAGCCTGGCCACTTGCATACACCATGTCCATACAGAGGATGGCTGTGGGGGTGCTCCTCATGGGACAAGCTGCAAGAAAACACACAAGGCAAGAGGATGAGTGAAACACAGCCTGGGGAGTCCACGTGGCCCAGGGAGCACACAACACATCTCACATTGTAATTCCCCATGGAATCTACTTAATCCTGATTTTTTTTTTTTTTTTGGAAGCAGGAGTTAAAATTATGAGCTGGAAGATTATGTTCTAAACACATTTAAGTATAATTACCTGACGTTAGGAACCTACCTCCATGTGTGAAGAGTGTTTGGCAGGTTTCTGTTTAAGCAAAGCACAGGCAGCACGGGCTGCTGCAGAACGGCCATACTGATTGTACATCGCATGACTAGAAAATCTGTACTGGGTCTGTGGCTCTTGTATTTTCTACGCAGGACACCCCACATGCTTTCCTCCCTTCCTCTCTGTAAAAACTACGTCACAAAATCGAATTGTCTGCTTTTTTTTTTCTTTTCTTTTTTAATAATTTTGTCTGGCAAAAACTATCAGAAATAAATAATGTGCAATACTAAAAGATTTTTTTTTCCCCCAGGGCAAATAAGTCTGAACCAATGATTAGCTTAGAATTACCTGGTGGTGGCGAAGTTTGTATTTTTCAAGTTACTGGCAGCAAGCCTGAGAGCAGACGCGGCCAGGAAGGGGTTAATGCTCCAGTGGGGTTCCAATCGATAAGTAATGATCTGGCCACTGGGATCAAGTCAGGGGATGCTTTGATCTGAGCCATGCAGTGCACGGGGAGGAGTCAGCTGGGCTTGAGTGTGAGCCATATTCTCAAATATTTTCTCGATCCACATTTCTTTCAGACAAATTATTTTTACAGTCGTTTCCATAACGAAAGATTCCATCAAATAGGAACGTAAAATGAACGGCCAGAGTTCTGGTTTGTACTCAGGCACACGCCCTTCGCAGAAAGGGAGGGGCTCTTGCGCAGCTTACTCCGCTGCCTCTCCTTGGTTTGAACTTCAACAGCTTGGTGTGATGCACAGATATTTATGTACACACACACCCCCCATGTGTGTGCAAGCGTTTGCATTTTATCCCACTAATGAAATGCCCTTTGGTGTATTTTATTGACCATATTCTTATAGTGTAGGAATACACTGATGCTCCCAGCTTACAGCACAACCAATCCGCAGCGAGCACATCACAAACTCTCAAACTGCAGACTGAGATTCACAGTGGACACACCAGAGAGTCACATCTCCCAAAGGCAACGGGGTCCTCTATGTTTTAAAAATTAGTAATTAGTTTGTTAGAAAATACCAATGAGTTATTTTTGCTCTCACAAAAAATGAAAAAAAAAAAAAAAAAGCAGTAATGTGTAACAGTAGCAGAAATGCCCACCTTGCAAGGAAAGGAAATAAACCAGAGAATACGGCTATCAATGGTGAAATTTTCGAAGCCAATGGGAGAAGGGCATTCTCTGAGCACAGAGTTGGTAAGACTCCACTGGACCCGAAAAAGACTTTCACCTACAGGTTTGTGCATGAGCAGTTACAAATCACTGATAATCTTAGGACTGAAAGACTGTGTCATCATTGCCAGAATCCTCACACATTCCAACAGCAAAGGCTCGGTCTATTAAAAAACATTTTTCTTAATGGTTGCAGAAAATTCCCTTCTCCCTAATTACTTTCTCTAGCTATTTGATGAGAGGCTAATTATTCTCCTGGTTTTACTGGGACATATATGCACATGCGTATAAATGTACATAAAAATTTGGAAAATACTGAGAGTATCCTGTAATATATTCACATGTATAACTTTTAACAAATTAAAGCATGAGAAACTTTACACTTAATGCCATTTTGCTTTTCAAACATTAAAAATTTTCATTTTCGTTTTGTGTGTATATTTCATCTGTATGTATATATGTTTACCATGTGGGTACCTGGTGCCTGCAAAGGTCAGAAGAGATGCCAAGATCCCCTGATCTTGGAGTCAGTTTGTGAGCCATAACGTAGGTGCTGGGACGTGAACCTTGGTCACTTCCTCTTACCCACTGAGCCATCACCCTAGTCCTAATGTCATTCTATATATAATATTATATATAATATTCTCATGTCATCAACTAGTCTCCAAAATTTCACCTATGGATAGGGAACATGCCACCATCTCACGCATCTAACTTTAACCATTCCTGTAATTTGGACATTCACGTTCGCACTGTATTTCTTACATTTATAAGTAATGCCAGAGATAAAATTAGGCTGAACATCTTGGCATGCACTGATTTCTACCAAAAGACACATTCGGAAAAACTGAGAATCAACCAATCAATGATACTAAGATTTACTTCCCTAGTGATACTGCATCAGCAGGCCCTGCTGAGTGCATGGCACCTACCAACCCACACCATCACTCACTGTGTGTGTGTGTATGTTGTGTGTTCTTCAGTGTAGAAGACAGGATTCTCGGCTATTGAGAATATAAAACTCTTATTACCAGTTGGGAACTGCACTGAGTTTAGTGGAGAATTCTCAAATTATCAACACGACATGCACAGGTCACCGGGGTGCTCGCTGCCCTCCTGTTTTTGTTTTTTGATGAGTTCATGAATAAAAACAATTTCCCTCTAAGCGTTTATTTCTACTTCGGCTCGGAATCAGCTAAAGGATGGAGAGATGGCTTAGTTACTGCATCCCAAAGTCTAAACAAATAACAACCCTGTGCACAGAAGCATATGCTTGCTCGCTTGCCTATTTATTTACTTATTTATTTGACTTGAACCATTTATTACGAACAGATGTCATGCTCTTATTGTCACACAGTGAAGAGCTGGCTGACATGGTAGCCACTCACCCCATCCCCACCTGCGATTATCACAGGTCACATTTTCGTGGGGCACTGCTCCATCTCTCTCTTCTTGGTGAATTATTGTTCTCTAAAGTCACAACAAACGCTGTTACCAGCTTTCCATATGTATTGTGTAGCTGAATACATTTCAATATTCCACTCTGAAGGAAATATTAGATTTGGGTGGAGGAAGATGTTGGCAGTGGTACCCCAATGGGACCTCTGCAAAGAACCTTCAACTCAACACTGGGAAATTCACTGGGAGTCAAGGAAACCTGGGTATTTAGCCTACAACATTTTACACCTTTTATGAGGTTTTAATCTTGTTGATTGCAGGAACCTGCTGACACCCAACTGTGAACAGTTATATACACTCGCATACACAGTAAGGACAATAGCTAAGTACTGCTCAAGGCGAGAGTCAGAGTCTGCTCTTGGCTGTGCTGCCACAGAGAAAGCTGCCCAGCCATCACGCAGCACGGCTGAGGCTGGGGTTATTCTGCACACAGGCCCAGTCACATCTCCGGTTAGGAGCTTTGATGTCTCATCAGGAGAGTAGAAGGAACATTAGATTTTCACTGTTTTCTGGCTTCTGACAAAAGGGCTATGAAAGCGAACACAAACTCATCAACTTCAGTTAATTTAGAGCTCCAGGGACAGGCTGAAAGACAGTGGGCAGATAAGGCTCGGAGCATCTGATGGTAGGAGGCAACCCTAAGACGCATCGTGACACAAAACTGGTCGTGCGTGACCAGAGTAGACCATCAGTGTCAACTCTGATGACAAATGCTCACCAGGTTGGCTTTTAAGATTCACAAACATGATTTACCTACAATGAAACTTCGAGATTTCTTGATCAATTATCCCTTTTCTTTCTTCACTTCCTTATCCTTTCCCATTCCTCTCCTCGCAACCTCTCTTTCCTTTCTTAGTCAGGTGGCTTTGAACTCTATGCAGCCAAGAATAACCTTTAATTCCTGATCCTCCAGCCACCCACCCTCTGCCAAGCTCTGAGATTACAAGAGTGCCGTATCATACTATGCCAGGCCCTGGGTCAAATGTTCAATAAAATTTTGGTTTGTTTCTCTCTAGACTCTCAGGTTGAATATTCCTATAGGCAGGGATCACTCACTCATTCCCACACACTGCAAACCTCATACAAGGCTCCACAAATGCTATCTAGATTTAAGACAGAAAACACGTTGTCCTATTTACTGTTTGTCTGGTGATATACTCAGTATTTGTGTTCTCTTATTCTTATAGGTATAAAGACCGGATTTATGCAAACCCAAAGGAGAAAATATCACTAGAGACACTTTGTGTTACTTAATTTTATTCAGACTATGTGCAACACAGAAAGATGCATTCCAGAAAAGTCAATTGATTTAAATCTTTTCTGATAATCCTTGCTACGTAAAAACTAAATATAGTTTAACACGAGAACAGTGGTAGCATTTCAGATGTGAAGGAGTCAACGTGCCAGGGAAAGTATAATTACATATAGATATGAACTAACTCTTGACACTACATGGTACTTATCAATGCGTTTACATTTGCTATGGTGTGATGCCTCCATTCCCAATGACATTTGCTATGCTATTTCTGTTTGATTTATTTTCCCGACATTGACATACACCAGCCGCAGTCTTTACTTCCACATTGGTGGTAGGAAAGACTTTCTTTTCAGTCAGTCTGGAGCTTGAACCCTGGGCCTTCTGCATACTGGGCAAGCATGCTACTCCTGAGCTACATCCTTGGGTCTATTGGAGAAGTCTGGATGTTCACCATTGGTGTGTCCACGTTATATTCCCCAGTTTACTGCCTGACCCAAACTGGAAACTGAAGTTATTCCTGTCACATGCCACAAGGACACCTTCTTGAGACTACAGTCTGTAGACTTCAGTGACACGTAAGCTATGGATCCCTGCTGCGACCGAAAGCAGGAAAATTCTTGACTATGGAGAAAGAATACAGACTTCACCAAATCAAGCATGTCCTGCCAACCTACATGCCAGCTTTGCTATGAAAATCAATTCCACCACCCACAAAAGCCACAACTAAGCAATTCTTAAGACAAGGGACCCATGCACTGACAAGTCCCTCTGACACTCCCCTGAACTCATTTTTGCCCCACCCCAAATTTGCCTACTTGGGTCTTTTTAAACTTGGTTCAGCTGTAGCAAGAGTCAACAACCGTGCCTACTGGTATACGACCTTC